TAAGCAATTGTATAAATTTCTAATTAATATTTACTAGTCTAAACCAAATAAATAAAATAATATATTAATTATTATTTTTATTGCAATCAAATAACATAAGTATTAACAAACTAGTTTATTGAAATAAAAAAATTAGTAGAAATTGTATTAAATTTATATGTATATTGATATTAAATAGAAAATGTTTTTAATAATTAAATAAATTTTAACTAATCAATTTTTTTAAATAAAATATCATAAAGTATAGTGCATTTATTAAGTTAGTTGTTGAACAACAAACAAACTTGTTCGTGAACATTAATAAATGAGTTGGACTATCGAATAATTTGGTTCCTCTAACTTTTGAGTTAAAAAAAATGTTCAAACTTGTTTAGTTATTATGTTCAACAAAGATGAGTGTATTAATCGAACCAAGTTTGAGTTGTTCATCAAAGGCATTGGTTCATTTACAACTCTAATTTCGGGATGGATATCACTATATTCGTGTATGGATGTTTGTTTAGATTGCATCATCTTTAAATTTTCTTCCTCTTGACCCAAGGTTTGCTGGGTGGCCGGCTGAACCAGATTTCATGGGGGCTGGAATTGCCACACCCCTTCCCTCTTATAATTTCCTATTCTACTCCCTTCCATAGAGGGAACTCCCTCTTCTGTCCCTTTCCTATTTCTCTTCCTTGACTATTTCTATTCTTTCCTCTTCTATTCATTGCATTTTTTTATTTTTTTTCTATTCTAATTCTTTCATATTCTAATTACTAGTACCTATTATATTTATATATGTGTGTGTTATTCTCTGTTTCAGGTTTAATTTTGGGTTGAGCTTTCTGCTTGGACAACCGTCGAGGTCCTCCTCTTCTCTTCTAGGGCCATATCTGACGGCGAGATAGTGCTCCGACTGTAATTCATCCGAGGTGGTGACCTTCTCCAAGTCCAAGGGTTCTAGGGGTGCTCCAACTGAAACTCACTTTCGCGGGGATGGTTATCATTCCATATTTCCTTCACTTGCTCGTTGCTATCTTCCTGGCATTCTTACCCCTTACTGTTTCACTCCAGCGCTCCGACCCACTGTCGACAGCTCTCCAGCTCTTTGATCTACCGTGAACAACCCTCCAACGCTTTGATCTGCTGTCGACAGCCTCTTCAGCTCTTCGACCTGCTACCAACAACCTCTTCTGCTCTCTGATTTGCTGTCGACCTCTCCCGCACTCCAACCTGCTGCTGATAGCCTCTCCAATGCTCACCTGTTACAATCGCCCCACCACACCCTCCCTGGCTTCCACAACTCCCTCCACAGTCATCCTGTTGCTGCTGCATCCCCAGGTCGCCATCTTACCTGTTGTCCTGTAGCTGTTCACCCACTTTGCTGTCGCCCTATTGTGCCCTTTTATGTTAATCATCTACTAATTCTTGTTTTGTGATGAGTCATCTTTGTAGTTCTATTTGATTTAAACAATAATATTTATATTTCTTGTGATTTGAGCTAACTCCGCTATCATTTGATATTAGAGTTAGCCTAACCATAGTCCTATCATAGGGTTTCCTAGTATCTGCCTTACCCTTCCACCAAAAATTCTCTTTCCTATTCCCAAACCATAACCAAAACTTTGACTTAACCCTAATTTACTCTTGCTGATTTTCGAAATCAGCAACCCTAAACCATTTTTTAGCTCTCTTTCACCTCCCACTCCAATCTCTATCCATGCCACCAAGGAGATGCATGCCTGAGCCTACCCAGGAAGAGATACAACGAGAGATCCTCCAACTTTAATGGAGGCTTGCAGACATTGAGAATGAAACCAAGGGGGAAATTACTCTCCACCGTGATCTAAAGATTCAAAAGAGAGAATGAGAGAATCTGAAGTTGAAGCGGGAGATACATCACCATTTCCTACCAGCTTACTACAAACAAAATGTTCAGATCATAGCTTCAGAAGTGGAGAGACCATATCACCAAGTGATCACCCCATCTTACGGACAGAGTTTAACTCAAGATCTTACGACCAGAGTACACCCAGGAGAACACCCATGATGACCCTATCAGAGGAAAAACTGATTCAGAGTGGTGAACAGGTGGAACCAATCTGCATCCATCAATCTTTCACATCTAGGAAGCATTGTGGGTGCCTTTTATTTGGGTTTGTTGAATCAGACTGCACAATCAGGGGGGTGATCTGTTTCACTGAGCAGGACATTCTTGAAAATTTTAGTAATGACACAGTAGACACTGAAGATGGTGAGGACACAAAGGAGGAGGATCAACTTCTAGTTGATGATGAAAAGATGCACATAGTTCCAATTGGGCCCATGGGAGGGACTCCAACCGACTTCATGGTGAGTGCCCAGGGCAGTCTTGAGTTTGAGGAATTGACATATGAGGCACGACAATTTTAGATAAGAGAACTTTAGATCATTCAGATCTATAGACTCATTCCTGAGTTGTCCTTACGGAGGGAGGTTCAACACGTCAGAAATGGAGCTCTTGTGCTATATCGGAAATATTACATGAAATTATTCAAATGTTAGATTCAATTTAGTATGTTACCTGCCATCAAATGTCTAGATAGGAGGAATGAACCCCGACCTTGAAATTTATCTTAGGAGCTTGACGGGGAAAGAAATTCTTTAGTGGGATGCAGGTCTTGTCTTATCAGTGAATAAGCGGTCTCTCCTGAGTGGTTGCTAGTGAGAATGGTGCAACCTGACACAAAGTCGGTCTGAGAGTCAATCTCTCTTCACATTTTGGTTTAATAGCTACACTTCGCTGAATATGAGAAGTGAAAGAAGAATGTTCCAGACTTTAGCGCTCAAGAGTTACATTGTGGGAACATACATCTATACACCCTCAGCTTAGGACGTGCCCCGAGATAATTCATATTTATTCCATCAAAACATGTTGTTGAATGAAAACACCGACAAGGTTGACTTACCAGGAGACTATCTTTGTTACCTTTAACGTGGCAGGCTTTACTCCATGCTACGAGAAAGCAGAAGCTTCGATGAATGAAGTCGAAGCTTCCTCAAGCCCTGGAGAATGACGTGGGGCTTCCTGGTTGGCTGGCTTAACCGATCGGCCTTCACGGGGGTTGGAATTGCCGCCCTTTCCCTCTCCTAATTTCCTATTCTAGTCCCTTCCTCAAACGGAACTCCTTCCTCTTCTATGCATTTCTTATTTCTATTCCTTTCCTTTTTCTAGTCCTTGTCTATTTCTCTTCCTTATATATTTCTATTCCTTGCCTATTTCTCCTTTTCTTATTTCTATTCCTTCCTTTTCTGTTCCTTGCCTTTTTCTATTTCCTTTCTGTTCAAATTCCTTTATATTCTAACTTCCAGTACTTATTATATATATATATATATATATATATATCTGTGTGTGTGTGTTATGCTCTGTTTGAGGTTTAGTTTATATTCTATCTTCCAGTACTTATTATATATATATATATATATATATATCTGTGTGTGTGTGTTATGCTCTGTTTGAGGTTTAGTTTTGAGCTTAGTTTTCTGTTTGGACAGCCGCCGACGCTTTCTCTTTACTTCTAGGGTTGTATCCGACGGTGAGATGACACTCCAACTGTAACTCGTCCAAGATGGTGATTTTCTTTAGAGGTTTGAAGGGTGCTCCGATTGTAACTTGTTCCCGGGGGGATAGTTATTCTTCCATATTCCCCTCACTTGCTCGTTGCCATCTTCCCGATGTTCCCACCTCTTCCTATTTCACTTCCTCACTTTGACCTGCTGCCGACAGGCCTGCAACGCTTAGACCTATTGCCGACATCCCTCCAACGCTCTAATCTTATGCCGACAACCTTTCTAACGCTCTGACCTGCTGCCGATAGCCTCTCTAGCGCCTCGACATACAACCATCAACCTCTGCTGCACTCTACAACAACCTCTTTAGCGTTGCACCCTGCCATAATAGCCCCTCCAGCACCTTATCTGGCTGCCGCAACTCCCTCCATAGTCATATCTGTCGCCATCTTCTCACCCCTTTCACTGTCACCCTAGTGTATCTTTTTATGTCAGTTATTCTCTAATTCCTATTTTGTAATGAGTTGTCGTCGCAACTCTATTTGATTTCAGTAATATTATATTTATTGTTGTTTGGGTTAAATTTGGTATCATATAGCTTCAAAAAAATAAAAAATAATTTCTCCTATAAATTCTGTGTTTCAAAGGTTCTTTTTTCAATGATTTAATTACTAATAAACATAACTTGGCAAAATAGTTTATTTCTGAAGCTTTAGAAGTTTTTATATTTTATAACTGTTAGTTAGAATCTAGTTTTTATTTTACTGACTATTTGTCAATCTAAGAATATTCCAATACTCGTTTTCTAAAATATAGATAAGGGTACTTGGAGGGCATGCATCATACTATTCGTTTATGTGGAAAGTGCCCATTCCCCTCTTTATATAACCTCCTTGATGGGCTATAAACGTTACCCTATTTAGCATTTATCATAGACTATTGACAACCAAAATCATTGAAATTACTCAAAATGTGCCTAGAAAAGTTAAAAAAAATATAATGCGATTTGATTAATAATTTTAGACATGAGATGATTGCTGATTTTACTTTCTAGACTGCCCATAATGATATGTGTTTGATGCATTGGCCTGATTAATGTGAAATTTTGTGAAATTATTCCTTATACTTTTGATGCCTGGATCAATATGCCCAATTTGTAAATCCTAAATGACTAAAAAATGACAAAAAAAAATATGTCCAAAAAAATTTCACTATCCTTGTAGTTCTCACTCTCTCTGCGACCGTCTATCCAATATGAACGGCGAATGCCCACATATTCTCATGTTTCAGCGGCCACAGAATCTCAAATATTGATTGCTTTGTCAATTGACTAAGATCGAGTATTGAATGTCTTATACATTATGGTTCCATTTTTTTTCACATTAGTGGAATTGATGAAATATCACTTTGTTACTCTTGTTTTTGGTTTTTTTTTAATTAATCTACTCTTCTTCTAATTTGACGATATTTAGATTGCCAGAAGAAGAGCAGCCCACATTTCAAAGTATCCTGATGCACAAGTGATAAACCTTGGCATTGGTGACACCACCGAACCCATTCCAGACGTTATAACTTCTTCTATGGCCATGGTATGAGACTTTTATAAGCCTATTTTTTAATGTTATTTCTTCATATTACAGAGCTTCACATGCCTTTACTATTGATTTTTTAAAACTGAACATCTAACTGATGATCACTGAGCCACATCTCATTGTTATTTTCATGCTGCTGGAACTATTACATGATTATTGAAGAAGAAAATATTTCGTTTGTTGACTTCAATACAATCTCTCACTTATTTGAAACTATTAAAGGTAGCAAGTAATTTCTTAAGGTCATTTTTGCACCATCATTCATACCCTCTAATTGTTCTTTGGAAATATTGCATACATAGGAATTAAGTGGTATGTATGTAAATTTTTCAAAAAAATAACATGAACTCTTTTGCATGTTTGATTCAATTATTTGTGAGCATTGCCCCAAACTTATTTAAATGAACTCTAGGGAAGTTATGAACCTACAGTATATAGTATTCACATGCGAGTATATCAGTATAACCCATTCATCATAAGAAAGGTCAATACTGACCTTGCAAAGACCTGTGCGGCCTCTTTGAAGGGCATTCCGAAGTATATGAATCAAAAGATATCAATATCAATCAAACAAACTCAAGGGGTGCACACACTCGTGGAAATCTGGAATGCTGGAATTTGAAAATTGGAAATGATGGAGTAATTTCTTAGATCCCCTCTTAATCTCATCAATAAATTAGGGTTTTTCTACATTTGAGCATCTCACAGTTTTGGTATTTTTTTCCTTGCATAATACCGAGAAATTCCATATTTGGAAACCATTGGCCACAAATGTATCTCATATTTTTTGGCTATGTTTCCCTTCTTGCTTTTCCTTGTTTGCACCAATTTCAATCTTGTTTTCCCTTGTTTGCACCAAATATTATGTGTATAGAGTTCCTAAATCTGTGTATTGATTGTTTCATTAGTAGCTTTCTTTATGACATTTCTATTTTCCTTACTACCTCTAAGGCTATACTGAGAATAACCTTGAAGACTTGAGAATTTTATACTTCAACAATTCTTTTCAATTCGACAAACTGGAAACCTGCCTATGACCTAATTACTAAAAAAAAGTCAAGAATAGCTTGTAACTACTAACAATATCCACTCGAGTCAAAGTCGACAACATAGTCCTCTAGATTCCAATTTACTAAAAAATTTGCGAATCCTGACACTAGATTCAGATCAATATCGCTGGAAATTTGTGCTTGATATGAGCGGGATGTATTCTTTGGTCTTAGCCGTTAACATTGCCACTGCCCTTTTTATTAAAAGAATTCAACATGGCCCTTTGATTGTCGATTTAGTGCCTTTAAACACATGAGAAGTGGCATTTCTCTCTTTAAAACTCTGAAAGCTATGACAGAGCACTCTTGATAAAAATTTTTAAGGGAACTATCTCTAAAAGAGATCAGGGACTGCTTGCATCTTTAATTTTCAAAGTCACTTTTTAATTTTGTTTGTTCTAAAAAAAATTCTATTTCCTTGGCTTCACTTTGTTCAACTACCTTTTAGTCTTTTTTGCTGCTCTGTTGCTACGACCGAGCTTCTTAGTTCTCTCTCACACTCGTAGCTCACAAAGAGCTTGGTCGGCGCTTCTAGGTTTGCTCCTTCCCTCTCAATCTCAATCTCGAGTACAATCTCCCTCGCGATCTAGTTCTTGTTTTCTTACTTTGTAACATCATTCTAGGGCTTCTAGTAGGCATTTAAGAAATAGTTTAGTGGGGAGATGGTTGAAGGTAAGCAAAGGAAGAGGAATATGGAGTTTGATGGCGTTTGAATAGGGATAGGCATCATTCGGCGGCTTTCCCATCTGAAAACAACAAAGGGAACTCTGAAATGATGATTGTACGAATGACAAGAAGGTTTACCATTTGTTCTTACACAAGCTACAGACACGACACTTGTGAAAGGAAGATGATACAACACTACTTAATTTAGAAAACAAATATTTCAATCTCCAAATGCCCAAAACTAATAAAATTTTGCCAAACTTGAAAGTGATAACATATAAATAGTTCCCTTACATATAATAACATAATTAGAAATAGAGAAATAGGAAAGAAAACAAAAAAAGGAAAAAAGTTTGCAAGCTTTGGAAGTGGGCTATCCCATTCCAATTCTCGCGATCGCGGCTTCTTTTGTTCTCACAAAAACATGGTATTCGTGATTCTGCAGCAACGTGAGATTTCCACGATCCTGTTTCCTCTAAACTAAGGCTCTGTGTCATTCTCTCGAGCTATATGAAGTTTCTTTTTCTTCTCTGGATGGATCTTGATTTTCAAAATTGCGGTTTACCACTCCTGCTAGTCATCTGTCTAAAATGAACTGGAACTTAATACTAAGCCTACTCCATAGACTCTTCCAGAAATGGTTGAGAGATTACTCATTTCTATTTAAAGCAATTATATGTTGGATGTTCTTAATGGGGGCTGCTCTGTGTCTCGTATCGGTCTCTCAAAGTCATCACCTTGTTGAACAATCAGTGCTTGTCCTGCTGGTGCTTCTCTCAATGTGTTAGCATATCCTTGAACACCTCAGACTCTTTCCAAGGCAAGTATATAATGCGTTTCTTATCTTTGGTTAAAAAAATTACATGTTCTTGTGACCATCATAATATATGCAATGATCATACTACCAAGGAAGGCCTAATAGGACGTGGCATGCATCCATAGATACCACGTTATACCACTCTTGTTCCCTGAACTTCTTTCCTGTAGAAAATTTCATGAGGCATATTCTATAAACACTAATCTTACACCCGTTCCTCAACTAAGTCGAGGAATATAACTGAGAATGCTTCTGAGTAGTGAGACTCATTTTGTCAATCAGTTGTGTAGATGTCACATTTTTATAATTACCTCCATCAATAATGAGACTGCACATATTTCCCAACACAGTACGATGAGTATGAAAGATGTTGTGGCGAGCCATTGTTGTTGTCTTATAGGATTAGTTTGAAGGACTTGTCGGGTTACTTCACACATTTTTACAATTGCCTTATCTATAATGAGATTGCACACATTTTACTACGTGCGAGTGTGAAATATGTTATGTGAAATATGTTATGCCAAAACCATTATTGCTCTATTATGAGATTAGTTTGAAGAACCTATCGGGTTACTAGCATCTCTCCCTCATTGGTTGGAGGCTTATACTTCTTTGTATCATCACCTTCTCGTGTTTCTTCTATGTTACTGTCTATATTTTCTATCGCTCCTTGCTTAGTAAAAAAGATCACCCTCCTATTTGGGTAATCAGATGCAATGTACCCAAAATCATGACACTGTAAGCATTTCCTAATTGGGTCGAATTTGGGAGTATTGGTTGTTTCTACTTTTTCTTCACTTTGAGCTAGTTCTTCCTCTGACAGGGTCGATTGGGATGCTCCACTTGGTGTATTATTGTTGCATGATCTTAGAGTTGAACTCTACATGTAAGGTGTGGCGATCAACAATGATGTTTCTCTATCTTTTAAGTTAGGGAATGTACATTGAGTATCGATCAATACGGTCGTAACTGCACCACATTACTAATATATGACCGTAATTCTTCAAGATATCTTGCTACTATGTGCTCCCACCAACTCACATTTTAGCATGAGTTGATCTAATTCAGTTCTGTACTCCACAAAAGAATCTCTGTGGCGTAGGTAGTAGATCTTTATGATTATATCATGCTGTTAATGTTGAGAAAGGTATTTGCACTACATTTAGGCTATATAACCATAAAGAAACATTCTTCCTAAGCTTGATAGATGCCAATTTTAACTTCTTGTCTAAGGGAACGTCTTTGTATTTAAAATTTATTTTACTGTGTGGAGCCACTCCATAAACTTGTCTGAATCCATGCGAATATTAAAATTTGATAATATCACCTTACTTCAAGATTTTGTTTTCTCTCCTCTCATATTTCATGTCAAATCTTCGGGGTATTAATTCTTCGTCACTGGAAACTTCCTAATGAAAGGAATTCACTTCCTTCCATAATTTTGGCTAGTTATCGGTGTGGCTATTGGTGACCTCACTTGATTGTCTCTTCTCAAAAGCGACGTGCTTCTATTGCAGTTCTAGGATTTTTCACTGTATAGCATCTATTGTAAGTTCATGAATATCTCATTGACCTTTTCTCCTTGGCAACATGACATCCTTTTCTTCGATTAGATTTCGGCAGACTGAGGATATAAATATTATTTACTTTTAAAATATTGTTCATCATATGAAAAATGTAATAGACCGCTTCTCAGACGTTCCCTTCTTGGCTGCTTTATATTGTTTAATTTTAAAATATTGAATCCTTGGCAGCATGCCATCCTTCATGCAACGTCCGATTCCCCTAAGATATCGAATGCCATGTCTTAGAAAATCAAACCACTGGAATCACATGGATATACATTACGTGAAGCAAGAATCAAACACATAACTCCAGCCGTAAGAAGTGGATGTATAAGTCACGTCAAAGGAGTTGAGTAGCCGGGATGGATGTTAAATGACTTGAATGAACAAACCATTAGCAAAATTCATATTGTAGGAGCCAGGTGGAGATTAGAGCCAAATTTTTTATAGGACACTGGGTAAGGATTGAAGCTTGCTACAGGACCTGCAGAGCAGAAGTTTGAAAAAACAAAGATAAAATAATGTGCTAGCACAATAGATAATGCTAACTTCTTAAACTGAACTTAATGGATGCCAACCAGATTAGGATTCACTGTAGGTAAGAGAGCACATTCCATTCTCTTAGGCCATCATCATAGGCATGTGAAATTGAATATAAAAATTAACCATCATATAATATGACTAATAAATACTTATTAGAGGCATTCTTAACTCTTTGTCAAGTGTAAATTTGCACATCTCCCTCATTATAACAAGAAATTAGTGAAACATCTATCTTATTATTTAAGCCGTCAGTTGGAGTGTTTTTATTTAAGCCGTCAGTTGGAGTGTGTTTTTTTTTTTTTGTATGTTTGATGCACGTATTTTTATTAGTTTTGCCACTAGTATTGTAAACGATTTTGTTCAACATGATTGAATGAAATATATTAGAACTGATGGGAGCTTTATTAAATGAGAAGTTGAGCTTCATCAATCAGAAATTGGGGATGGGTTATTAATCTATGCTATTTTCGTACACATTCTCAATAAGGTAATGCCTCATTAAGATTCTTAACAAAGTTATGCTTGAAACATGTGCAAGCTAGGAATGCAGAAAATTTATTTCTTACCTTGATGTTAAATGATGCAGACGTCCTACATTGAGCGGATTGCAAATTTCTATGATCCCGGTAGCGTACCTGGACAAGTTCACGTCCGATACGACTCTTTAGTGGGAATCTCTTGTTTGCACTGTACGGGTCATGAAAGCCATGTCCTTAGTTTTATATTATTTGGAGAGGCTTTCTCCCTGTTTTCTCTATTAAAGTACTGCATTCTTGAATTTCTCTCAGAAGTTATGTCTGTAACCTGATTGGATCGAGTTAGTGATCTCTCCCGAAAGTCCAAAGGCTTCCTCCCTCTCCAAACTCACTGATATCTGCTATTGACAGCAGAAAGTTGTTGTGGTTCTTCCGCTGGTTAGCTACCAGGACCCGACCCGGTGAGTTTGGAATTACCAAGGCGGGAACTGAGGGTCAGATGGAGGAGACATCACTAATAGTTTAATTTCATCACAAAAAATAAAAATCCAAAACAGCAAAGTGTCATTCTAATCCACACAACTTATATTTAAAATAGATTATTCATATTTAAACATTTACATTCAGATATAAAATAAACTAAATTACAATACCTATCAGCTGTCTCTCCACGACACCTGTACACGTGCTCCTTGGGGCCCATCTAATCTTCTCTGTATCTTTCCAATTTTATCGGATGTCGTGGAGCGCCAGCTGGTAGGTATTGTAGATTTGTTTATTTTCTATCTGAATGTAATTGTTTAAATATGAACAATCTCTTGTAAATATTAGTTTTGTAAATTAGAATGACTTTTTTTTGTTTTGAATTTTTATTTTTGTGATGAAATGAAACTATTAGTTATATCTTCTTCGTCCCATCGTCCATTCTCGCCTTAGTAATTCCAAACTCATCGGGTCGTGTCGTGACAAGAGAGGTATCAGAGCTCCCCCCTTGCACGCAGATGAATCTTGTGATCCCTTCTTCCTCCCTAAGCTCTCGATCCAGCTTCAAACCAGCCGCTTTCCTTCCTCTGCGAGCCACGCAAGTTGGATAGCCCGCCTCCTCCTTTCTCGGCGAGTCACACGACAGGGAGAATCTATTGCCTCCTTCCTCTTTTGTGACTTTGTTAGGGCACAAATGCCTCTCCCTCCTTCACTAGAGTAGGGCCGCTCGAGCCTTCTACGTGCAGAAAAATGTTGCACGAGCTCCCTCCTCATCTCTTTGGCTCAATTACAGGTAAGGCTATCAAAACGGCTCGTTGTTTACGAACAGCTCGTTTTCGACTCGTTAAGAAGTTCGCGTTTGGCTTGTTTGCCAAGTTAACGAGCCAAACACCTCTTTAGTGTCTAAGCTGTCAAAGTGGCTCTTTGTTCGGGAATAACTCGTGTTTAGCTCGCTAATTAAACATATAAAGTTTTGTTTGTTGACTCTGTATACATACATATATATATATATATATATTGATGAATATTATTTTTGAAAATTTTAATTGACTACAAAACTACTAAGATTTATAATCAATTAAAAGTATTAATTAAGAAAATAAAATAAAAATTATTAAATTAGATTCAAATGATGTTTTAATATAAATAATAATTTTTAAATCTTGCCACAACCCTTGACATCTTATGGCTATGTGATTAGGGTTGTCAAAACGACTCTTTGTTCTGGAACAGCTCGTGTTCAGCTCGCTAAGCAAACGAGCTGAACACGAAAACACTTTTTAAGCTCGAAATATAAACGAGCCGAACACGAACTAAGCCTCGGCTCACTCGTGTTTGGCTCATTTACACCCAGGATTACACGTAACCTCCTCCTCCTCCTTCTCACTCTATTGTAGCTTTTTCTTCCTTCTCTTCTTCCTCAACCTCACTGTGTCGCTCTCTCACATACCCCTGGTCTCTCTTGCACTCTCTCGCGATGGACTCGAATGAAAGGAGACGAACTCCCCATGAGCGGTGGAGTTTTCGCTCGAACGACATCTGCGCAATGTCGTTACCAACAAAGCTTCGTTTATTTTTTATTAATGGAATTTTTTAATTGATTTTTTTTTTAATTTTTATTATTACATTCGCCGTCCAGCAGCCATGTAGACCACATTTCAGCCGAAATCCTTTCTATCGCCTCTGTTACCCATCTTACAACTTACCCACCCCCTTTTTTGTGTTCTCTCGCACCTTTTAGGAGCCTTAGAAAGGTCTCAGGGTGTGTTGAAATATTTAACAGTATGTTTAAGGTATTTAATGTGCTAATGTAGGATATTTAAATTCAAATGAGTTAAAATATCTCTGCTATCTATTATCATTTGGATTTTTCCTTTTTTTAAAAATGTTAATCAATTATTACTTGATTTCTTTAGTATTTTACACAGCTATATTTTTGTGTGTTATTCAAGTTAGCAAGATGCGATCCATATTTCTGCACAAGATAAATTGCTTTCCTGTTTTCATATGTTTCAGAAGTCTTCTAGCCTATGCTATAGCTATTTTTTCATATTACTTGTTGAATTACTTCTTGTTGTTATGAATTCCCTGATTTTAGATTTATAAAAAATGTTTGTTTGTTTGATTGTGTTTGGTTGATGGTTCTGTCATTAGCTCGAGTTTGACTTATTTTTATGTTCTATTATATAACAAGTTAGATGCGAATAAGGTACTTATCAATCATGTTTGGCACGATAGTAGCTTGACTATATTTATATATACATATAAATAAATAACTAAATAATTAAACATATTTATTCTCATTTTCATACATTTTTACTTGTATGGATATATGCATGCATACATATTGACATGTATATTCGATAATTTATATATAAATTAAGTAGAATTTATGTTCATGAATGACGCAGGCGTGTAAAGGGAGCCGGGGGATGGTTTTTTGCGATTCCTTTGCCTGGACCAAATCAGTCCAGACCTGGGAGGGTTGACTATCTCTTCCACGTGGGTTTGACGCCTCCTTTTCATAGGGGCGGGTCCAATCCTAGTTATCTAGGGCGTATTTACGCTATTCACGTGTTTTAGTGTTGCAGTTTTTGTGTGTTTTGTTTTGTGAAAACCACCGGTCTCTTCTTCCCTTTGAGGGTTATATCTAGAGTTCCAGGTTGTACTTTGTTGTATCTTGGTCTCCAGGTGATTTTCATCTTCCCTATACCCTTTCACATCCCTCCCGCTTCACTGCCACATCTTCTTTCTCTTTGCAGGCCTCCCTAACAACAGCCATTTTGTTGTTTTCTGTTCTTTTTCTAGCATTTCCTCTTCTTTACCATTGTTGTTCCAGCTCTCCGTCTTCGCTTTGCTGCCCCTACCATTTCAGCCCTCCATCGTTGCTGTCATCACCCTGGACAGCCCTCACACATCGCCTCTACTGTTTGATTGTTGTCTGACACCGGGGAAACAACCATCTCGTTGTTTTCTGCTTGCCAACCTCCTTTTCCACTGCTGCGCCACCTTCCAAACCCTTGCTGGCCACCACCACCCTCCTGAATCTATCCTAAGTTGAGTTTGTGATGTTGTTTGTTGCAATTTCATATTTCAGTGTTTTTTATTGTTATTTTCGTATTGGATTTCAGTAATAGTATTTGCATTTTCTGCTGTTGGTTAACTTTGGTATCAATGAATATCTCTTTTTTTTTTTGATAAATTAGCAGGTCGATCACAAATAAAAAACCTTGGGAAGTTTACTTGAGAAGACGAGCTGAAAAATAGTTGAATTGCTCAAACTGAAACCTTTTACATTCCTGATTTGGTGGCTGCGGCATTTATAATTTTGTATAGCCATTTTTTATTTTTTTTAACAAAATCTGTAAACAGTTTTTTTTCTTCTTTCATAAATGGATGAAATGTTTGTATATATTTTACTGATGTAATAGAAGGAGAATTTGAGTGAATTTATCAACAAAATTTGTTTTTTTACACGAAGGCCTTCATTTATTTCTGAAGGCTTATTTTCCCTTTTGATTTTTTAACTGGTTTTTAAATATATCATTATTTTCGTTGTTGAATAATATGGAGAGTTTCATTGTTCTCTGATAGCTCAGTAACTAAACTCCCCTTTGAGTGCCGTTTCATTTGATAAACGGGTGGCCAATTAGACATTCTGTTCTCAATAATCTGTTGTTGCGGAACTAACTGAAATTATTTTCTCATAATTTTTGCAGAGAGCACATGCACTTTCCACTGTTGAAGGTTATAGTGGTTATGGAGCTGAACAAGGTGATAAGGTCTGTCAGTTCTTCAGTTGCTCACAAATTATTTATCATTCCATACTGCTTATTGAAAGAACCGTTTAAGGTTGATGAACTTTCTTAGAAGTAGTTTTTCCTTCCATTACCTTTGTGAAAGTCTTTTTTTCAAGTTGCTCAAGGAATTTTAATTTCTTTTTTGTGCTGATTTTTTAAAAAATGATTTATCATTTTACCTTGGTTCTTTGATGGTAGATTCAAGACATAAGATCATTTGATGGAAAATAAAAATGTCTTCCGCTGTTAGAACATGTCATGAAAATTCTACTTTGGAACATGTTTTATCACTTTCTCAAATGATCTAATTCTTTACTCTGTGCTTCTTGTGCCTATCCTAAATTGTAACTGATTATCAGTCAACATATCTTAAGACAATATACTCTATTAGTTTTCAGACTTAAACATTGAGATTACGATTGATAGTGTGAAGGTGTCTTCAAAACTCTACCTTTTAAAGAATAATTGCTTAAGTACAGTTTGCGCTCAAACTTGTCACATCTTCACCAACATCCTCAATTCAAATTTCAAATTTCAAAGACATTTCAAATAATGGGTGATTTTTGGCTTTAGCATTATCACCTAGGACATCAAACTTTACTAACATTAAACAATCAATTTCTCCTAACATCAGAAAAAATTCAAAGAGAATTTCAAAGTGAACTTGGGCATCTAGCTAAACACATTCTTTGTTCCCATCCCTGTCAAACTGGCACAATTTTCCAACCTTAACCATCTAGATGAAAATTATCCATATAGCTGGATACTTTATTCTCTTCATCGAAGAGCATACGTGTCTCACTTGTGTTTTCTTAATGAAAGAAAAAAAATATAATATGATCCACACGGAATTTTATCCAGGGTATAAAGAATTCTTCGAATTAATTTTAGTTAATATTTTCTTATATCAAAGGATCCAAAATGGGGCTGTTAAAAGGAACAATACACACCTATTAGAGATGTTTAGATCAAGAATATTATCCACAAATATTTATGTGTATCTTTGGGGAGAGATTATCTTAATATCTATGTCTCTTTAATAGAATGCTTTGTGAGTAATTAAATTTAATTTAATGCACAAACCCTTTTTCATTCTATATTCATTCATTCACATTTTTTCTTAGCATAGGGACTGATTAGAACCTTAATCCATGAAAACTTTATTTGATAATCACCAAATTAAAAATGGTTTAAATGCTATTGATTACTAGAAAAAATTATAATTCTGTGAATATAACCTTTAACACCAACTTTACTATTGCAAACCTAAATTTTAGGGGGAGAAAATCTAACAATAATATTTTATTCGATCATCTTTCCATTTTCTTTCATCAAATTCATGTCTGATGAACACTTTTCATCTCCTCTTGTTCAACTTATTAAAGCCTCACCATAGCCATAAATTCTTCTTTCACTTAATCAATACATCCAACCTATCGGAACTCCTCGAGAATTGGAAACTTCTTTTCATCAACTTTTTAATAACCCAATCTATGCAAAATGAGCTTTGCGTCAATACTAGGAGGAAAAAGAAAACTCAAGAATGAGAGTAATCAATATAACCCGAGCGCGCCAAAGATCTTAATGCGAGAATAAATCCATAGATGATGATGATCATCTCTACCATACTATTGGAAAAGACTCCACATGCCCAATCTATAATTTATGACGTATAAATGCATTTCACCCAAGTCGGACTTTTTTTAAATGCCCAATGAAGTAAAAACTAGTGAGAGTATATTCATAGATGATGATGATGCTGTCCACCTTCTATTGGAAAAGCTGGTGCTGCCATGCACCATAAATCCAATCTATAATTTTAATGTGATTCTCAACCTGGTTTGTTGATTAATCTTTCAGCAACTGAGGGCAGCCATTGCTTCAACATATTATGGTGCTTTTGGTATTGAGGAAGCTGATATATTTGTTTCAGATGGGGCAAAATGCGATATTTCTCGCCTTCTGGTTTGTATTTCTTGCTTTGATTTATTCTTTTTTTCTTTTAATTTCTTGATGATTAGTTTTGTCTGCCTCTAATGTTCCTATTTGCTCTCCTCAGTCCTTCCATGTTTGATCTCTGAGGTGGATTACATGAGAATTTAATGGTATATATCCCATCCACCTTACGTTGAATGGTTATATTGCTTTTTCAGCTGCTTTTTGGAGCTAATGTGAAGATAGCAGTGCAAGATCCATCATATCCGGTAAGTTTGTCATTTCAGTCCATTCATAACACGCAAATTAAAGCAATTATGAGCCAATTCATTCCCTTTTTCTTAATGCTGTAACTTTAACTTGCTTAATGTTATGTATGCCTTATTTAGATATATAGAAAAAAATTAAAATAAATTGTTCCCTTAGGGTTGCTGACATTTAAAATATGTGGTTTTGTTTATCTATTTACTTTGTTTTGATTCTCTAAATTGACTTCTCATGTTAAGGGTGTTTCCATATAAGCTCAAGGAAACCTAGATTTATGGTTGAGTGAGGAGATAGACAACATTGTTAAAGGTGATGGATGTTTGTTTGTAAAGTTAGTTATCTGATTGTCACTCGATTTGATGTATCCTTTTTAATTAGTGTGGTTAGTAAACATTTATAAAACCCAAAGAAAAAAACATTAGCATGTTAACCTAAAGATTTTTGGGATATATTAAGAAATATCCAAAGAAAAGTATGCTTGTTTAGAAACATAATCGTTTTGTCTTTGTGAATGGAAACCTCGTGTCTTGGAGAGAATTAAGAAATAAATTGTTATATTTAGATTTAATATTAAGCTAAATATAGCGGTGTGAGGGTCAAGTTTCATTCTATTTGCAAAATGTAGATTAAATGTTAGTAAATGATCTCAACTTCTGTGTAATATAACTTATGATTTTTAATTATGACAAGCAAACATCTGTCCATATTTTAGTAATCTGATCTTCAATGTATATAATGCAATTATAAGTAACATTAGAGTAATTGTGAAGTGATCATGGAATTTTCATTCAAAGTAAGATTAGATCAAGGTTTATCATTAAATCGACATATTTTTCTTTGGTTATGGAGACTCTTACAAATCGTATTAGTACTCAAGAGTTGAGAAAACTTAGAATGCCCTATTTGTTGATGACATTGTTATCTTGGATTGGCCTCTCTTAAGTTAATGAAACTCTTTGTCTATAACTAGCCTAGTATCAGTAAAATTAAAATTGGATACATAATATACAATTTAAGTAGATATAAAATTTCTAACTATTAATTAATATCGCTAGAAGATAAAATGGCATCAAAATGTTGTGGATTTAAGATAATCAATTCTCTCATACAAAAGGTTTGGGTGATAGATATGAACTCAACCGCTATAATTGAAGTCACGTGATTAGGTACCTAAGTTGTACTATGCAAGAGGGGAGACCTCAAGATAGATTTGTTAAAGTGCAATTAGAGCATCTATGCTATTTGAACCCTATAATTTTTTTCGAACAACAAATCCTAACCCACAAGCCATATCTACACTTTACACTTGAACCTAAGCCTAAATTTTTGCCAAACCAAGATCCCAAAATTCCACCTTGGCTGAAACCCTAAAATGGAGTGAATCACTATGACATCAAGGAAAAAAGTCGCCAAGGAATATTAAAAAATTTATCATGGAGGATATTTAGTGAGAAATTCTCTAATTGTAACGAAGATTTTCTGATTTTGAAACAATGCAACACATGGAACTCACTCATTTGTTGACAAATCTGAGAGAGTAGATGATGAAAATTATTTTTATCAAGACCTCACTCATTCCACACATAAGTGGGATCGAACTCCTAGATTTCTAGTTTGCAAGATTTTTAGCTTTATGGATCCAAATGAAGGTTATTGTCTCTAAATTGTGAAATGAGATTTTGAATACAAGGACATTCCACTAACAAAAAGGTGAAATTAGTTGTCATCGAGTTAAAGAATAGTAGATTTAAAGAAAGATCGAAGGAGATACTACGCAAGTGTTTCCTAGCACATTGTAGGCATGAATTATTTTCAGACTTCTCAAATTACTTAGGACTTATCAGTAGAGGAGTTTACTGCTAAATTTGAACAATTCATGTTAAAATGTGAGTTCTTAGAACCAGAGAAGAACACTACAATTCAATCTTTTGGAGGATTGAGACATTCTATTTGCAATATAATATTGTTGCTACCTTGTTGGACCTTGTAGGTAGGGGTGTAAACGAGCTGAGCTTGAGCGAGTCCAGGCTGACTCATGTTTGGCTCACTAAAATACCTTTATTCATGTTCGAGTCGTTTATATACCTGGCTAAAAAAAATTTGTTTGTGTTCAGCTTGTTTACTTGACGAGTTGAATATGAGCTTTTTGCGAGAAACGAGTCGTTTTGAGAGCCCTAATCACGTAGCCGTAAGTTCTTAAGGGTGGGGCGAGATTTAAATCTTATTATTTGTATAAAAAGATTCATTTAAATAGAATTTAATATTTTTTAAATCTATTTTTTAATTAATAATTTTAATTTATTTTAAATCATTGTAGCCTTGTAGTCATTAAATTATTTAAAATTAATAATCATCAGTCTTTGTAGCCTTGTACTCAAGGAAATAATCTTTGTGCCGCCCGTTGCGACTCTTTGATTAGCAGAATTTGTAAGGCCATTGGGATCACGAGTTCGATCCCACTTATGTGTGAAATGAAATGCTTAGGCACATAAAGTTGGTCGAGAGGCTCGTCTAATAGTCTCTGGCTAATCTGTTGGTTGGCATCCACTGTATAAGATCTCGCAGGTCGGGGGGTTCGAATCACCTCTGGCACAGTTGGCCGTAAGAAGGTGGTACTCGAATTATCATGCACATTAGGGGTGGCTGGAGGCTCGTATAATATCCTTTTGCCATTCATATATATATATAGTAAACATTTATAAAACC